CGAGCTTGCAATATTCAAGGAACATCCGCCCGAAGGCTATTCCTTTTTGGCCTGCAAATTTCAGAATGCAATCCCATTCCTGGACCTTACATTGATACTTTTTCTGCTCGAACACACAGTTTGCGCCCGATTCTTCAATTTCTGCCCGAGCAGTGAACAAGTGCCCAATGTTGATATTTCAAATTTTCACTTTTCGAATTTGAGCTCGTTTACGGGGTTGTGCGCGGGCCGTTGCGGGCGTTTTTGCACACAATGTCTGCTCGGCTAGGTCACATTAGGACCTGACAGCCCCCATGCCTCCAAAAACTGCTCGAGGTCCAAACAGAGGACTCGCCAAGAAAGAAAAGGTACGAATACCACAAACCGGCCGATTGACAGGAGAGGCAGAAATTTCAGGTACATTGGACGGTCCAGGTTCAAAAGGAACGGACACATTGGAATTGGCTGTGCCAAGACCAGGAACCTGTTGGGGGCGACTTCACCAGGGACCCAAAACTGAAACGCTGCATCCGAAGTCGGGCCAACTTCTGAACAACAACAGTCGAACATCTCCTCAAGTCTGTGGAAAGAAATCCCGGGCAATCCCAACAAGAAAGCAAAAACAAACAAAACACACATCAAAAAGAACTTGGCAACCCCCACCCCCCCCCCCCCCCCCGGTTTGCCCGTTACGTCTTTGCCGGGGTGCAGCACGCTGGAGATGTTGCCGCTCTTGCCGAAGCGTGGGGCGAAGGCGATGTCCCGACCTGCAGCGCATCGCTGGACTCGTCCGGCGGTTTTACAAAAACAGCAGGGCGGCCCTGGTGGGATGGCAGGATAAGGCGGTAGATGAGTAGCTTGCGTGGTCTGAACTGGTGAGATGGCAGGACACAAGGGAAGCAGATGAGCAGAAGGAATCAGCTCAGAAATCTGACTGGTCTGAGCTGGTGGAATGGCAGGCTACAAACGAAGCAGATTGGCAGCAGCCGGTGAGGCGCCCCGTGCTCTTGAGGACTGGGGGCTTTCGCCAGCCCTGATCTGAGTCAGTTCCTCCTGCAGAACTTTCTCTGGTCGCACACCTTGAAGCCCATGTGATTGAAGCAAAAGACGGCGCTGGATTGGCAAGAGTTGTTGTGCTCATGTTGGCTCTCTTGACAGAACTAGCAGATTTGTTTACGCACTTGCTACTGCCAAGGAGCCTGGCTCCAAGTGGCCAACCTCAACAGGCCGGTCCGTTTGTGCACTTGGGCTGGATGGCCCAGAGCACAAATGGTGGAAGATGTGCCTACACAAGGAGCGGACATTAGGCTGAGCAGATGACAGTCAGAAGATAGAGCCAAAACGCTTCTTGCATGACCCTCATGTACTTGGTAGTGACTGACTGTCAGAAGGCTCCGTGCGCATGCAAAGGCAGATCTTGGGCGGTGGGGGCGGGGTGGTGAGCACATATATTCATAGAGAGGGGAATCAGGGGGCAGGGGACCATTATATATATATATATATGTACATTATTTACAGACATATAGACATATTCATCATACACAAGGAAAACCAAACGACAAAAAAACACCGGATGTCTGTGGTTAACTTCTCCTTGCAAACGAGTAACCGACAATATTACCAGCCAAAAATCCAACAGGGGCCTATCCAAAACCGACACCCACCAAATGCAAACCGCGAAGACCACCGATACAACGGTATTTTAGCGCCCCAATTACGCATAAGCATGTGTGGATGTGTCAGAAAAATATCCATCAAAAGACGCTTTTCCCTTCGCTTGTACTGTAAATCGACCCAAAGCGGGTGCCGAGCCTCAAAAAAGATACACCCATTGGAGTGCGGCACTTTTTGAGGACCTTTTCTGGGGAAAGGTGAGGACCTTTTCTGGGGATTCAAAAAAGAGCCCTTCAGCGAAACCGAAGCTTGAGACGCTTTGCTTGTGGAGGCAAACCATTTTTTTTCATCAGGGAGACCTCCTGTGGCTCCTGGTTTTGGGTTGAGAGGATTCGAAACCTGACAAAAAGTAGCCGCAAACCTCAGAACTCTTCAGGAACCTTCGCCCGTGGTGGATCTCCATGGGCGAAAAGGGCAGACTGCTTTTTTGGTAGATGGTTTTAAAGGAAAACCCCGGCCAAAAACGAAGGTCACCACTTTCCTCTTCTGGTAGGTCCAGTTACCCTACCCACACACACTAAACACACCAGGCTGGGTCCTCACTCGCCTCAGGACTCCCTTAAGCAGTCACCAATTCGCTTTGCTTGACTCTGATCAGATCGAGGCGCCGCCGTCCCAATCCTGCTCGAGGTATCTCCGCATCTGGCGTTGCGAGGCGTGGGGATCCACCGGGTCGCAAGGATACATTCAGATCCGGATGTTTTGGGAGCGGAACCCTTTGTTTGGTGGTTCTACAGGGACACTGAATCAACCATCTTTACAAACGTCATATCCACATAACTCTGAGAATTGTGCAACCTCCAAGGTGGCATCTAATTTTGTAAGTCCCCCCACCCTTCCAATGGAGGTCCGAACCCTTCTAGAGGGTCCAGTGCCTACCGGCAGTGAACAATTCACGCAGATGCCGGCTGATGTAGAGGATCCAAATTGTTGCACGTAGATGATCTTGTTTTGGATGCATTTGGGGAACGAACCGGCTCCAAAAATTGCGGGTTGTCAGAACACCTCTTTGGCAGAACGGGAAGACTCTCATGCGGATGGAATCAACATGTACCAACCTGTCACTCAGTGGTCACACGAAGAAAGGAATCTCCACCAAAAAAGGACCCTCACAATAGAACTGGGGAGGGGGGTTATGGCTTCAACCATGGCTTCATTTCGTGGTGCAAGAAGCGGATTTCGGCACCACCGACTAAACCAGTGGAACCCGTCTATTTCAAACCAAACCCGATCAAAAGGACATCTGGTCACAACAGGAAAGGACTCCCTCTTCATAGAACTGCGGGGGGATATTTAGTCCAATGTCAACACTAAAACCTTACAGCCATAGTTGACCTTATGGAACAAATCCCATCTAGACCACTGGAACCCATCTATTTCTATCGCAAACTGATTTCGCAACCACCCAATTATAATGTGGTTGGACGAAATCCTGCACCACCTAAGAAACCCTGGCTTCTGATTCGATTCCCCTGTAAATACCAACAAACGTTATGGTTTCAACCATGGTTTCCAAGACTGTGCGAAATGGATTTCACAACCATCCACAGGTTGTGCTTGAGCCAAAGATTGAATATGACTTGTTGTGGAACCATTGGTACCCCATTTTTGACCCATACTCGCATGGTCGCCACCGGAAAGCTCATGCTCACAAAACCTCCGAAACCTCCCATCTCAAAACCAGCCTCCAAAACCTCCGGAAAACCTCCGGAAAACCTCCGGAAAACCTCCGGAAACCTCCACCCGAAACCCTCCGCAAACCTCCGGAAACCAGCCTCAAAAACCTCCCATCTGCCCCCTCCCCCCGGAGCCCAGCTCTCCGCCCCACCCCCCACCCCCCCGGGCCGTCTGGAGGCTCTCGAAGGCGCGCTGGGCGGCCTCCGGGCCGCTGAAGGAGAGGAAGCACGCCCCGTGCTTCCGGACCTCCGACCGAGCAGCGAGCCGCTCGGCGCTCGCTGGGCCGCGGTGGGCGTGTGTTTCTTTTGGTGGTCGGCTTTTTGAAACCGGATCCTTCTTGGTTGTTGGTTGCTGGTTTTGTTGGTTTTGGTTTTTTGGCTTTGGTTGTTGGTTGTTGACAAAGAACAGCGGACACCGGGAAAAGAAACTTAAGGACAAAATTCTGGGGGGTGATTCCTCTCAAAGATTCATTTCGACCATCCTTCTTTTCGAAACCGGATCCGTTTTCCTTGTGTTTCTGGTGTGTTTTGTCTCTCTCTTTTCTTTGAAAGATGGATCCCTGGAAACAAAAGGGGAGGGTACCCCTAGAGGTTTGTTTTCTAGGGCAACTGATCCTAAGCAGAGTTAGGGAGGTCAAGACACCATGAGCCACACATTTATGGAAATCACACTAAAGGCGCTCGGCTGCGGTTGGTTTTGCTTCTTCTCAGGCCAAGCTCCCTGGATGATGCGCGTGTGAGCTTGGTTTTCTAGGGGTTGATTCAAAACATGGAAACACCAAGAACAATGGAAACCGGGAAAAGACACAAGGACCAAATTCTAGGGGTTTTTTGTTTGTGTGACCAAAAAAATAGGCAGGAGAACAACTCAAAGGTGCCACTGGTTGTTTGTTTTGGTGACAAAGGCGGTTAGGATGTTCCCTATAGGGCCCCTGAGCCTTAGGGTTCCGTAGGGCTCTTTGAGGTCGTATTGGTTTTGACCAAAAGCAACAGGGAACTTCACAAAAATGAAGGCGTTTGGCTGACAAAAAGCAATCGGGAATCTAGATTTGACTTTGGCTGCTTTGCAAGGCGATTCAATCATTTTTTGTCCCTTCTTCCAGGGGGAAGGGAACCCTTTGTTCTTGGGCTACTGGTTAAAGGGCAGTCAAGGCCCTTCCAACAGAAGACGTGGTTTCAAAGGGACACCAAAAGGGAACCACAATTTTCGTGCTAAACAACGACACCCCCGTCTATGAGCCATGGACAATACTACTTACTTACGATTGGTTCAATTGGGTAGGCCCCCTATCTTATTGCGAGAACATAGGGGGGAATGAGTGGGCCCCCCAAGTCCCGTCCAAATGAACAACAAACTACCAGTACTATTGTCCGTCGCTTATTGAGATAAGTTCAGGTGATATCCCCAACAGCATGCGGTGCTCTTTTTAGTGCCCGCGCCACCCCGCAGAACCTCGTGGAACCCTCGTCAAACCATGATACAAACCCTGGTGAAAAACTTTCGTGGAACCTTACCTCAGGGCCGCCCGAACCACCCCGGAGCAGATTTGGCCTGCACCAGACCACCCGGAACCTCACCTGCCTTGAATCTTACACCTGCACCAGACCTTCCTTGAACCTTACCCTGGCCTGCACCGACCACCCCACAACCTCCGGAACCTTCCTTGAACCTTACCCTGGCCTGCACCACCCCGGAAAATCCGGAACCTTCCTTGAACCTTACACCTCCAGATAAGGTTTGGTGGGGATGTCTGGTGCAGGCCAGGTGTAAGGCAGGTTCCGGGGGTGGTCTGGCGCAGGCCAGGTATAAGGTTCAAGGAAGGTTCCGGAGGTTGCGGGGTGGTCTGGTGCAGGCCAGGTGTAAGGTTCAAGGCAGGTTCCGGAGGTTCCGGGGTGGTCTGGTGCAGGCCAGGTGTAAGGTTCAAGGAAGGTTCCGGAGGTTGCGGGGTGGTGTAGGCCAGGCGTAAGGTTCAGCTGAGACCCCTTAGCTTTCAGCTGTTGGGGAAAAAACGCACACACACACACACATACAACATGTAGGGCCCTAAGCAATTAGAATGGGGTTGGTGGGTATATTACAAGAGTAGCTAGCCACTTTCAAAAGTGATTGATTGCCAACAACCTCTAAAGATCTGGCATCTATTCCTAAATCACCCCCGACTGACACTCGAATAGGCTCCACCGGTTGCGAATCCTCAACAGCACCTTCTACGTAATTTTCGAAAAGGTGAAAGGGCGTTCTCGGTACCGAGGAGCAAACAAGGTGTAAATAGGCACCTATTGAAATGCGAACAATGCGAACCTGAAATTCCGGGTGCCGTGAATCTGCAAATGGTATCATACCTCCAATACCCGAAAAAAGGGATCCCCAAGCAGAGGGCCATAGTCATGGTGAGCTCGCCGTACCCGTGGTCGGTGAGCTCGCAATAAAATAAGCAGGCTGCGTTGGCCCAGGTGGCATCTCCAACAGCAATCCCTGAACCCTTCCGGAACCTTAGCCCAAGTCGCACCGAGTACTTGACCTTATGTAGGCAGACACCCCATTGCTTTCAGCTGCTGTGGAAGCAGGTCTGCGTCAAAATAGGGGACCCCCTTTCGGGCGTGGTTTCCCTTTTTCCCCCTTTAAAACCATACCGAAAAGAACAAAACTAAAAACAGTACCTAAACCCTCAAACTACCCATACAAAACGAGCTAACATCTTGGGGCGATTTCCCCGTTCTTTATCGGTAGTTTGCGGGTCCAGGTGCCCTTAAACACACCCGCGCACATCAGAGCTGCCAACTGTCTGCCGAAGTGGCCCCATTGGCCGCTGCGCCCGCAGACTTCGCCGGCTCCGAAGTGGAGGAGATGAACTTCTCCTCGCCTTCACGGAACACACAAAAACCTTCTCCCGATTTTGTATCCCGCTGGAAAGCAGTAAAACGCATATACATGTGTATATATATATATATACATAATATATGTATTTAAGAACAAAAAACAAAACAAAATAATAAGAACAAAAAAAACTCCTGTCCACCAACATGGAATCCACCGGAGGGTCCATTTGAAGGACATACTGAGTCTTGATGGAAGGGTAGAATTCCCCTTGCGGATGCAATCAAAGGTAGCACTAAGGTGATTCCCTTTTGGCTTTGTCCACATTCCGGTGATAGATTCCCTTTACAACAGGGGGACAATAACAAATATTCACTTCAGCAAATGGAAAAATCCGACCTTTTCCCTTAAAAGAGAGTTCCTTGATAGCTTAGGATGGCTTCTAGGGGGCAACAAGTGGTCGTTCAGAAAATTAGGTGCCAAGGGAACGTATGAACCACAAGCAGGAAGAGACGCCACACACACACAAAAAATCACTATAGAAACACAATCTATTACTTCAGGAGGCAGGGTACTCAGTACTGGTGTAGCTTCACTACGGGCAGCTGGAAGCTGGAATCGCTCTGGCAGGGGGCTTGACTCTTTCCCTGGCTGAAGAGTCAGACTATGGAGCTGACGGTGTCACACCTTCAGCGGCTGAAACAAACTCTACATGTCAGCCATGATCTCAACATGTCAGCTGTGCATTGCGTAGCTGGACTACCCGTAAGCAAAGGGGCATTGCCCCCAAAAATGGGTTGATTTTGATCTGAAAAGGGCAGTTTGAGGCCATTGAGCTGGTGAATGAGACCTGCTCAGCTCACCTGAAGGAACTCGTATTGGGGCCGGGTATACAGCCTCACTTATGAACTTGGCGGAGAATCTCAACGCATACCATGCGCAACATGGTTGTGATCGTTTTGGTTTCACTCGAAACCGGGCTGAAACGAGTACCCCCCCCACTCCCTAAGCACAACTCACCGGAAAACCCCAAACCAGGCTCTATCAAAACGAGCCCCCAAAGGAAACTCATGTACCATCCGATCAAATCCGTGTGTCAGAACCCAAGCAATGGGTCGTCCTCCCAATAGTAGCTCTTTTTAGCGCAACTCCCTTGGTGTTTTAGCGGGAACCAGCAGGACAGTGTTCCATGCCAATTAGGTAGATTCCGGTGTGCGTGTGTGGCATCTGATCGAAGCCAGGGTTGCAAACACACCACCTAAACGTCCCCCGCCAAAGGGTTTCAGGGTACCTATACTTAAGATGCATATGGGGGTTGTCCTATATTCCTTTGCCCGGGATTGGGCCCTTGGG